TAAGGGGAACGGCAATAACTGGTTCACCTGTTGTCAGTACAATGTGAACGACAATGACTGGTTCACCTGTTGTTAGCAAAGTGTGAACGGCAATAACTGGTTCACCTGTTGTTAGTACAATGTGAACAGCAATAACTGGATAACCTGTTGTTAGCACAATGTGAACGGCAATAACAGGTTCACCAGTTGTTAGTACAGTGTGCACGGCAATAACTGGTTCACCTGCTGTTAGTACAATGTGAACGGCAATAACTGGTTCACCTGTTATAAGTACAATGTGAACGGCAATAACTGGTTCACCAGTTGTTAGTACAGTGTGAACGGCAATAACTGGTTCACCTGTTGTAAGTACAATGTGAACGGCAATAACTGGTTCACCTGTTGCCAGTACAATGTGAACGGCAATGACTGGTTCACCTGTTGTTAGTAAAGTTTGAACGGCAATAACTGGTTCACCTGTTGTTAGTACAATGTGAACGGCAATAACTGGTTCACCCGTTGCTAGTATATATGCTGGGTGCCTTCAGCATGATAGTTCGTGATCAGTGATATAGCAATATGAAGTCGGCATCAGTTCCACGCTATCGCAAGATGGCAACTAACCAATACCAATGTATCCGCATGTAGCACAGGTGCACACACACAAGCATATATTACACACGTGGAGGCGCATTCCTAAAGACCGTATATGTTTATAGAAAGTTAACCAAAAACCAAAACCACCCGTTCGAACGGGTGTATCATCTTTAAAAAAAATATCGTGTTATATGACCTATATGTATTGGAATTTGTATTTATGATATCTTCTCATTATTGCATAGTTTTTAATTGTTTTTCCCCATTTAGTGATATTTCATCATGGGGCGTCATTTTAACCTAAAATCGATATAAATTCCTAAAACGTGTAAAATTACACTCAACACCTTATTAAGTCCAAATATAGCTGTAACAAATGCTCAGGTCCCTGTGGTGTTGATGTAACAAATGCTCAGGTCCCTGTGGTGTTGATGTAACAAATTATCAGGTCCCTTTGGTGTTGATGTAACAAATGCTCAGGTCCCTGTGGTGTTGATGTAACAAATGCTCAGGTCCCTGTGGTGTTGATGTAACAAATGCTCAGGTCCCTGTGGTGTTGATGTAACAAATGCTCAGGTCCCTGTGGTGTTGATGTAACAAATGCTCAGGTCCCTGTGGTGTTGATGTAACAAATGCTCAGGTCCCTGTGGTGTTGATGTAACAAATGCTCAGGTCCCTGTGGTGTTGATGTAACAAATGCTCAGGTCCCTGTGGTGTTGATGTAACAAATGCTCAGGTCCCTGTGGTGTTGATGTAACAAATGCTCAGGTCCCTGTGGTGTTGATGTAACAAATGCTCAGGTCCCTGTGGTGTTGATGTAACAAATTATCAGGTCCCTTTGGTGTTGATGTAACAAATGCTCAGGTCCCTGTGGTGTTGATGTAACAAATGCTCAGGTCCCTGTGGTGTTGATGTAACAAATTATCAGGTCCCTTTGGTGTTGATGTAACAAATGCTCAGGTCCCTGTGGTGTTGATGTAACAAATGCTCAGGTCCCTTTGGTGTTGATGTAACAAATGCTCAGGTCCCTGTGGTGTTGATGTAACAAATTATCAGGTCCCTTTGGTGTTGATGTAACAAATGCTCAGGTCCCTGTGGTGTTGATGTAACAAATGCTCAGGTCCCTTTGGTGTTGATGTAACAAATGCTCAGGTCCCTGTGGTGTTGATGTAACCTTTTTAGAAGAGGTTATTCATGTATGTATCACCATCTCGGAACGAAAAAGTATAATTTACTTGTTACTGATTAATTTGTCAAATCAGCTGTTCGAATTGGTTGTTTTGCAAAATTCTGATGTAACTTATTAAAAATTGGTATAATTTACAGTTAGTTGCGACGTAAACTCAAATCATTGTACATCTGTATGCACAACCTGTGCAAGTGTACGTATACAACCGTAACATTACACCTGCGTATGTATATTCAAATGTATTTATTTTTTATAAAATGCAAAGGTTATTTACTATTTGCAATGTACAAGCGTTTCAATTATCAGAAAATCAGTCGTAAAACTTGAAAGTCTGCTGGATGTACACAATGAACTAAAGATTTTAGTTACTGTATGTACAATGAACTAAAGAGTTTAGTTACTGTATGTACCATGAATGTCTGAGAGCGATACAAAAACCTAAATACATTGAATCACATAATCGGCCTGTTATCCAGTGAATTCGCCCGTGTAATATTTTTACATATATATGTCACTAGTATCACTAGTGTAATATACCCTGGAGCGTTTTTCATTGGCTGTGCCAGTCAGAAATCGATTGAGACGTCATAATATGGACAATGACGAGATGTCATAAATTGTGAATGGCGCAACAAAATGGCTGTCTCCGTGCCCTCTACATTATGGCTTTAAACCTGTCAAAATGTAAGTTTTCTGAGTTATGTGATAAAAAGTATCTTAAATTTGTTTTTATTTCATATGAGATTTTATGAAACTCGTCTCGAAACTCGACTCCGAAGAGTCGTTTCATAAAATCATATATGAAATGAAAACTTATTTAAGATCCTATATATCTTGTATGCAGCCAAGTCATTAAAAACAATATACTCACTTCATCAACTATATATCATTATATTTACATCACCTGGTACCGGTATAACATAAGTACTATGGCGTTACGCGCGATGTTGGTGACACCTTGTGTAACGTAAAATGACGTCGTTTTTATCATTATTTATTACATACTTACTGATAAATACGGGTTTTTTGTATATGCGATACGACACAATTGCTCTAACCCATATCAGCCCTCGCCGTATTACACCCCAAAACCCGTATCAGCCCCCGCCGTATCACACCCCAAAACCCGTATCAGCCCGCAAAACCCATATCACACCACTTTCGGAATTTTTTTCGTTTTTCAATATTTCAAAAAGAAAATTAAATCATACGATAGTAGTTTTTATTAGTAAATATGTAATAAACAGAATAAAACACGCCTTTTTCCATATCACACCCAGTATCAACCCTCGACCAATATCAGCCCTCGTGCCTTCGGCCCTTGGGCTGATATTGCAGTCTCGGGTTGATACTGGGTGTGATATGGAAAAAGGCATGTATTATTCTCTATATATATGAAGTCGCTTTTTAGATGTTTTGTCATATTTTGTGCTGTTTTGACTATACTTATACAATTCTATTTGTTAGTAATGATTTTATCCGCATAGTATTTCCGAAAATTATAATGATGCATGAAATTTTACTCGAAATAATAAAATGACCTCACGATTTCTACTGATGTTTGACATTCTAAATGTGGCGCAACGTTATTCTCGTTACGTCGCCTAAGGGGGACATTTTACGGAAAATGATAAGTGTAGTGCGATTTTTTCTTTATTGGTCCCCTAACAAAAATGAAAAGTCTTTCATTCTATTCAGCCAAGACACATTCTTATTAGGACATTTTTTTTTTATTTCATGTTCCACAATTTACTATTATACGTCATCAAAGTTCAATTTATACAAAATGTACGTCAAAACAACTACTGGACAAATTTCGGATTTTTTTATTTTTCCTGTTTTACAAGAAAATGTTATTTTAGATTGATTTCGACAAAAACACATTACAGCTATACAACTTTGTATGCATTCTTTATCTCAAATATCTGACAATATCCTCCTGTCAACACAATAGATTCATACCAAGCTTCCTGCTGGGTAAGCGTTACATTCTGTCCACAGCGGTTTGGAGAAGATTTGGTAAATATGCCAATCACTAATCCCAATGAAACATTTGACGTCATTTGTGACGTCATTTCTGCTTCCGTAAATCTTGTTTTTAATCTCTGCACACATTTGGCGCGATTTTACAGAATTTCTTACAGAAACCTCTTACCCTGCAGATTACTCGTTACATGAGTTTTTGTGACGTTTTCGAGGTTGTTAAGGTGAAACAGAATTTTTCGTGTTGTGTTATACTATCCATAAATACCATAAGACGAATGAGATTGAAGAAACGTTTTTCTGTGAAAACTGAATAATACAGCGATACTTTTAGCGGGCGCCATGCGTGTTTTGAAGTCACCAACATCGCGCGTAACGTCTATATATTTCGCGACCACTATCCATCGCGCCATGCAATTGCAAGTTACTGTCGAAGTCCAAGATGGCCACCTGGCAGCCATCTTGTTATTCTGATCAGTCCCAAAATGACCGAGGCGTGCACAACAACTGATGAAGAAGAAATAGCGATAACAAGAATTATTTAAGGACTGGCGAGGGGCGATTTGAACAACTCACTATCTGATGATGGTGTGCTGAAAATACTCAAACCGCCAACAAGAAGACAGCGAACATCTTGGTCCAGTACTGAATTAGCTGAATGTCAACTTCAGACGATTTTTTTAACAATAATGTTTTCAAAAAGAATCGAAATTAAAAAAAAGTTGTAGTTCAATGATTCAATTACTTATCATAGGATGACACAAACTAAATATACATATAGATATATATTTGAAATTAGTTATGAAAAAAAATACATTTTGAAAATCTGTATTAAGAACAAATTAACCTGGTCAGGCTGTCTTGAAAAACTGAAAAGTGATGTTAACTCTAATTATATTTATCTTATTATTGTGAAATGGTTTCTAAACGTATTTTAATTAAATGTCCACCACAACAGCACGGAATTCGATGTAATTCCGTGACAAAGCATACAAAATTAAGTTGCTGCACGGACCACGTTACGTACAGTCTAAACTCGTTTTGAAATGGTTTCATAAAAAGTATTCTTTAAAATCAATAGCTTAATTGTAAATTTTATTTGTCCAAACTCATTTATGACCCACCTACGACACATTTATGTAGACTTAGTTAAAGACAAATAGGCATAAATGTGCAGACGATTTTGATTACTGTGTTGATATGTGTTAAATAAGGAACTCTCCCCTCGCGCCAAACGAGGTCTCGTGTTTTCTCGTCGGTAGATCCACATGTGAGTTTGCGGAGAACGAAAGAAAACATTCGAGAGGACTGATACATTTCTTTGAAATGCAGAAGTGTCCGTCTTGTCCGAAGTGTCAGTCATTTTATTCTACCAAAGGTGATCATGGACGTATTGTGCATTATGTAATGGGAATCGCACATGTGTGTTGTTGTTGCATCAGTAGCCTAGCTAACCAGCATCATAATAATACACATATCCTGTCATCAGACGGTAAAAGATGACTTAATGTTTATTGAAACCATGTGATGACAATGATATGTATGTGCACATTAATGTTGTGACTAGTATCGCTACATGCAGGGCTACGATAGACAGTGTCGGTAGTGGAAACATCCTAGCATTCAAAAGATGATCCATGATTTCCAGCATCTCCAATTAATTCAGGATGAGCAGGTCCAGTACACTCTGCCGATTGAGCTATAGCTGTAAAGACCTATAATAGCTCTTTTGACCTATCTGAAATAGGTCTTTTGACCTATTTTCATGTGATTTTCTTTTTGAAGGAAAACGAAACAAAGTCGCTTTTAAAAAAAGATTTTATCATTAGGTTGATAACAAAAGACATTAAATACATGTATTCCGGTCCTCCTTAAAAGCGTCTTCAAACGACAACAAGCGTCTTCAAGTGACAACAAGCATCGCCAGACAAAATCTTTAAAAATACAGAATAAAGTAAGCGACATCAGAAGATATGTCGTTAATATGACTATAATACACCACTGTACCAAATTTCAGCTCGATATTCGATAAAATGACCGAGTTATGATGAATTGATTTTTTACGATCGCGGCGTGGCTCATGTGTGTATTCGCATTTAAAGTGAAGAAAGCGTCGCCAGATAATATCGTTATAATTACTCGCTAAAGTAAGCCACATCAGAAGATATGTTATTAGTTAGACTTTTATTGATATATATTCCAAATTTCAGCTCGATATTTGAAAAAATGGTAGAGTTATTATTAATTTATTATTACGATCGGCGGTGTGGCATACGTGTGTGATTAGAACTCTACAGATCGTAAAGTGTCTTCAGACAATATCTCTAAAATTAATCGATTGGGCTTAAAAAATAATGATGTAAAAAAATCGGAAATTTTACATTTATGAAAAATGAATATAATCATCTAAATGAATACTTTTTGTATTCAACAATACCATAAACCTTATTGTTTTATGCGACTTTGCTTTGATTTAATGAAAATTGAAATCTGAGAAATTATAGCTCAATACAGCTATTATTTATAGGTGAATATAGCTATAAAGGTCTTTATAGCTATATAGCTCAATCGGCAGTGTACTGGACCTGATGAAGAGAGACCCATGGCATTCTTAAAAGTAAAATGGGAAGCTTCAGTATTCAAGTTAAAGGGGTACACTGGCATTACGTACAGAACTGAACAAATATTGGTTATACGCAGGTGACATGCTATCCCAACACACACAGCAGAAAGATAAAAAATGCAAATGGTACCAAAATAAATAGATTAAAACTATGGCACTAGGGTTTTATATTTGTCTATCAAATGTATTCTCAAGGAATGGTTAAATTCTTTTCTTTAAATTAGAAGTGATCATTTTCCAATTATTAAAACACAAAATTGTTCATTTTTAGCTCACCTGGTCCAAAGGACCAAGGTGAGCTTATGCCATACCGTGGCGTCCGTCCATCGTCCGTCTGTACGTCTAACAATTTCTTTAAACGACTTCCTCTTAACCACTGATTGGAATTTAACTAAATTTGACTGGAATCATCCCTAGGTGGTGGGGATTCAAAAATGTACCAAAAGTTAGTCCCCAAGGGGGCAATTTGGCTTTATTGTTTTAAGCGACTTTCTGGAACTAAGTGATGGATATCAACCATATTTGTCTGGAAGCGTCCCTATGTGGTGGTGATTCAAAATTGTACAAATGGTTGGGCTGAACCCTCCGGGGGCTGAGGGGCGGGCCAAAAGGGGGCACTTTGGCTATATTGCTATAAACGACATCTTCTGTAGAACTATGCACTGGATATCAATCATATTTGATCAAAAGCATTCATGGGAGGCAGGCATTCAAAATTGTACAAATGGTGGGGCTAACCCTCCGGGCTAAGGGGTGGGGCCAATAAAAGTTTATTACTTGGAAATGGTTGAGATCCCCTGAATAACCATATATACAATTGCTGAGTATAACGAGAAGAATGCACATTTGCTTCCAGGATGGCTCTAGGGTCATGCCCCACCCTTGCAGACATAGTCCCTGGGTCATAACTTTAAAACGGTTGAGATCCCCACTCCAAAACTATGTATACAAATGCTGGGCATAAAGAGACGTATGCAGTCATGATATTAGAATAGACCCTGGGGTCTGACTGAACCCCTAGGGACCTAGTTTCTTAGTCACAGCTTGGAAACAGTTGAGATCCCCACCCTATAACCATATATACAATTGCTGAGTATAAAGAGATGAATGCACACATGCTGGGCATAAAGAGACGAATGCAGTCATGATATTAGAATTGGCCCAAGGGTCTGCCCCCACCCTTGCAGACTTAACCCCTGGATCATAACATTAAAACAGTTGAAATCCCCACTCCAAAACTATGTATACAAATGCTGGGCAAAAAGAGACGAGTGCAGTCATGATATTAGAATAGACCCTGGGGTCTGCCCGAACCCCTAGGGACCTAGTTTCTTAGTCACAGCTTGGAAACAGTTGAGATCCCCACCCTATAACCATATATACAATTGCTGAGTATAAAGAGATGAATGCACACATGCTGGGCATAAAGAGACGAATGCAGTCATGATATTAGAATTGGCCCCAGGGTCTGCCCCCACCCTTGCAGACTAAACCCCTGGATCATAACATTAAAACGGTTGAAATCCCCACTCCAAAACTATGTATACAAATGCTGGGCAAAAAGAGACGAATGCAGTCATGATATAAGAATAGACCCTGGGGTCTGACCAAACCCCTAGGGACCTAGTTTCTTAGTCACAGCTTGGAAACAGTTGAGATCCCCACCCTATAACCATATATACAATTGCTGAGTATAAAGAGATGAATGCACACATGCTGGGCATAAAGAAATGAATGCAGTCATGATATTAGAATTGACCCCAGAGTCTGCCCCACCCATGCAGACTTAACCCCTGGATCATAACATTGAAACAGTTGAGATCCCCACCCCAAAACTATAAATACAAATGCTGGGCAAAAGAGACGAATGCAGACATGATATTAGAACTGATCCTGGGGTCTGGCCACAACCCTAGGGACCTAGTTTCTGAGTCACAGCTTAGAAACAGTTGAGATCCCCAACTCATAACCATACATAAAATTGCTGGGCATGAAAATTCTAATACAGATATACTACAAGGATTGGCCTTGGGGTCCGGGCATATTCCCTTGGATCTCATTTGGAGAATATTTTGCCATTATTGCTTAGATATCCAGGTGAGCGATACAGGCCCTCTGGTTTAATAAAAAATGATAAAAGATATATTATTCTAATTTTGTTGCAAACTGCACTTTTCTGAAAATCGTAATTAGTAATTATGGGGGAAAAAATATCCAACTACCCTGTTTAGGAAGCAAATATTGTAAAAAATGTTGTATAAAAATAGTACCCTTTTTGAAAAGAAAAGAAAAAACCCATATAAAGCTTTACTTAATGTGCAGATTCTAAACAAAAAATATAGTATAGTTAAAAAAGAGTTTGATTTAATGACAAAGCCCTGGGCTTTCTTCACTATCTAGGTTTGCACCGGGGCTTTGAAATTGGAGGAGAAAGTTTATATACATCAGCACTTCAAGTCTTGACTAGTTGTTCATTGCAATATACTGTTATGTATATATATAGCTGTATGGGTCAAAGAAGTAATATAGACGGTACACGAATTACTTAAAATATTATATGGGGCAAAGAAGTAATTCCAACAGTGTGGACAAGTTTAACCTAAACTTGTCCACACTGTTGGAATTATTTCTTTGCCCCATATATATAGCAGTATGTAGACTTGGCTTTATAATAGAAATGATGGACAAAAATATGATACATAGAGGTCATTTTGCATTTTGTCAGGGCCCATATCAAGTTTAATAAACAAAGATGACCGACACGTACATATACACACTGCCTGATACAAACTTTTATTCTGCATAAATGCCCAATACAACAACCAATACAACAACCAATGGAAGGGTTGAACTATACAATGTAACACATCAATGAAGGACCACTTCGACAATACAACTGTTGAAATTGGTATAAAGGGGACGCTTGTAAATAAAATGTATACATCACTGCAGCATTGTGGGTAGGTAATACATGTTACAAGTGACAAATGTTACAAATGTGTTGCATAAATGTTGGGCAGGAAGAAATAAATCCAGCTTTCTTCAGATCTTATTAGAAATCAACTAGAATCATTAAAATTCAATTGTAGATAATGTCTTGAGAAAAATGAGCAACACATGATCATTTGGTAGATTTATAGGGAGCCAAGCTGGTGGGCTAAGATAATTTAACCTCCAATGGTTAGCCTGTGGTATTGCATGCAACCCTATGAGATGGACATCTGCTGCAGAGTAATACATTGCAGTACAGTAACTTATCTGTCATTGGATGTAAAGATTTTAATGGGAGAAAAGTTAAGTAAAGTACGGAATTCTTACATTAAAGATGCTGTATTATGCCTGTAATAATGAAAAAAACTTGTGGCAAAATCACAAAACGGTAAAAGGTATTATAATGTCATTATTTGACAAACCGTTATAATGAAATGTCATTGTACTTTAATTAATTGAATTTCTACAGAAAGAAGGATCAAAGGTAAAAATATCAGTGAAAATTGAAAGTCGACTCCTATATAAAGCTAGAATAAAGAGAATTGGCAATTATATTAATAGCATTTAACAATAATGATTCAAAGTTGAGTCTTTTAATTTACATTGCTGTATGTAGGATACAAATCTGTTTAAAAATCATAATAAATCCGCTGATGTTTTGTAAACTAGTGATGATGTTTGTCATGATGTGTGCTGTCTAATGTTTTCGATGTTACATTAAAATGTTGCTGATATTTGTATGTACTTTGTCTGGTGCTTTGTTGTATACAATATGATATTTGTATGTACTTTGTCTGGTGGTTTGTTGTATGCAATGTGATGTTTGTATATGTACTTTGTCTGGTGCTTTGTTATATACAATGTGATATTTGTATATGTACTTTGTCTGGTGCTTTGTTGTATACAATGTGATATTTGTATATGTACTTTGTCTGGTGCTTATTGTTGTATACAATGTGATATATGTATGTACTTTGTCTGGTGCTTTGTTGTATACAATATGATATTTGTATGTACTTTGTCTGGTGGTTTGTTGTATGCAATGTGATGTTTGTATATGTACTTTGTCTGGTGCTTTGTTATATACAATGTGATATTTGTATATGTACTTTGTCTGGTGCTTTGTTGTATACAATGTGATATTTGTATGTACTTTGTCTGGTGCTTTGTTGTATACAATATGATATTTGTATGTACCTTGTCTGGTGCTTTGTTGTATACAATATGATATTTGTATGTACCTTGTCTGGTGCTTTGTTGTATACAATGTGATATTTGTATGTACTTTGTCTGGTGCTTTGTTGTATACAATGTGATATTTGTATGTACTTTGTCTGGTGCTTTGTTGTATACAATGTGATATTTGTATGTACTTTGTCTGGTGCTTTGTTGTATACAATGTGATATTTGTATGTACTTTGTCTGGTGCTTTGTTGTATACAATGTGATATTTGTATGTACTTTGTCTGGTGCTTTGTTGTATACAATGTGATATTTGTATGTACTTTGTCTGGTGCTTTGTTGTATACAATGTGATATTTGTATGTACTTTGTCTGGTGCTTTGTTGTATACAATGTGATATTTGTATGTACTTTGTCTGGTGCTTTGTTGTATACAATGTGATATTTGTATGTACCTTGTCTGGTGCTTTGTTGTATACAATATGATATTTGTATGTACTTTGTCTGGTGCTTTGTTGTATACAATATGATATTTGCTGTTGTACAGTACATGATGGCCGATCATACCAAAAACACCCTCTCCTGTTGGACTGTGGCCACACCTTCTGTGAGGGCTGTCTCCAGGCTTTGGCTAAGGAAGGCAAGACTGCTGTCAGATGTCCCGTTGACTCATGCCAGGTAAGATCTATAGAATGGGGTAAGATGCTCTGCTTTCAAATGTAAAATGTTAAGAGTCGAGCCATATTAGAATGTCCAGTGTGTACTGTCAGAATGTCGTGTAGTCATGCCAGGTAAGATGTAGTACTGTGAGATGTCCAGTTAGTGAGGTAAGGCACTTAGTGTTGTCCTGATGATCGATCATAATTGATATCTAATCGGAAAGGCAACCGATTCTGGACAATCGATTATGAGAAGTCAACATCGATGATTGTTTTCAAAACTGGAAGTGCATGTTCTACTTTCATTTTCTCTAAGAGAGAACGAGAGTTCTATGTCATTTAACTCTGAACTCCGTCTGATTAAAATTATCTGTTACATGGCTCCGCCTGAACATCTGAGTGTGCCGCGGTCAGGGTCACGATCAGGTGACCTTTATATTTATAAATACTCATTAAATTTTGACCAATCAGATACCGTCTTTCAAAAGGGCGCTCAGAGTTGTTACAAATATGGCGGACATTGATGAGAATGATGCGAAAGTTCTGAAGTTATTTGAGATTGATCGTCTGAAACACGAACAGAAAAAGATATTCAAAGCTTTATTAAAGAAGAAAGACTGTATGGCGGTGTTGCCTGCGCAATTATTACCCAATGGGTACGTTTTACTTGGCGTCGTAGAAACGTCAGTTCCTGCCGACATATTTGTTTTAGAAAACTAATCTGTTCGATACCCCTCGCTATTTATCTATCAACCATGATATTCCGATTCGCTGGCAAACTTTCGCCAGCGCGCCTCTGATTGGTTCATCTAAAGGTCACTTGAACGTGACCCTGACCGCGGCACATTCAGATGTTCAGGCGTAGTACGAAGTTAACAAAGCCACTTAACATATGATTTTAATCAGATTGCTCTGAACTATAAATTCTTACCAATCATGCTATTTAAACATAATTAATTGCAAAAAAAAAGTGTAAAGGTTTGCTTCAAAGTTGAAATTTCATTAGTAGTATGAATAAAAGGAAAAGCCATGCCATTGTTAAAATGATAATGTAACGGTAAGCTAACTGATTATATCCGATCATCGATGTTGAAATCTCAACTGATTCCCAACACTAATTAGATACTGTACTTTCAAATGTTGCGTGAGGTCATGAAAGGTAAGATACTGTACATTCAAATGTTGTGTGGAGTCATGAAAGGTAAGATACTGTACATTCAAATGTTGCGTGGAGTCATGAAAGGTAAGATACTGTACATTCAAATGTTGTGTGGAGTCATAAAAGGTAAGATACTGTACATTCAAATGTTGTGTGGAGTCATGAAAGGTAAGATACTGTACATTCAAATGTTGTGTGGAGTCATGAAAGGTAAGATACTGTACATTCAAATGTTGTGTGGAGTCATGAAAGGTAAGATACTGTACATTCAAATGTTGTGTGGAGTCATGAAAGGTAAGATACTGTACATTCAAATGTTGTGTGGAGTCATGAAAGGTAAGATACTGTACATTCAAATGTTGTGTGGAGTCATGAAAGGTAAGATACTGTACATTCAAATGTTGTGTGGAGTCATGAAAGGTAAGATACTGTACATTCAAATGTTGTGTGGAGTCATGAAAGGTAAGATACTGTACATTCAAATGTTGTGTGGAGTCATGAAAGGTAAGATACTGTACATTCAAATGTTGTGTGGAGTCATGAAAGGTAAGATACTGTACATTCAAATGTTGTGTGGAGTCATGAAAGGTAAGATACTGTACATTCAAATGTTGTGTGGAGTCATGAAAGGTAAGATACTGTACATTCAAATGTTGTGTGGAGTCATGAAAGGTAAGATACTGTACATTCAAATGTTGTGTGGAGTCATGAAAGGTAAGATACTGTACATTCAAATGTTGTGTGGAGTCATGAAAGGTAAGATACTGTACATTCAAATGTTGTGTGGAGTCATGAAAGGTAAGATACTGTACATTCAAATGTTGTGTGGAGTCATGAAAGGTAAGATACTGTACATTCAAATGTTGTGTGGAGTCATGAAAGGTAAGATACTGTACATTCAAATGTTGTGTGGAGTCATGAAAGGTAAGATACTGTACATTCAAATGTTGTGTGGAGTCATGAAAGGTAAGATACTGTACATTCAAATGTTGTGTGGAGTCATGAAAGGTAAGATACTGTACATTCAAATGTTGTGTGGAGTCATGAAAGGTAAGATACTGTACATTCAAATGTTGTGTGGAGTCATGAAAGGTAAGATACTGTACATTCAAATGTTGTGTGGAGTCATGAAAGGTAAGATACTGTACATTCAAATGTTGTGTGGAGTCATGAAAGGTAAGATACTGTACATTCAAATGTTGTGTGGAGTCATGAAAGGTAAGATACTGTACATTCAAATGTTGTGTGGAGTCATGAAAGGTAAGATACTGTACATTCAAATGTTGTGTGGAGTCATGAAAGGTAAGATACTGTACATTCAAATGTTGTGTGGAGTCATGAAAGGTAAGATACTGTACATTCAAATGTTGTGTGGAGTCATGAAAGGTAAGATACTGTACATTCAAATGTTGTGTGGAGTCATGAAAGGTAAGATACTGTACATTCAAATGTTGTGTGGAGTCATGAAAGGTAAGATACTGTACATTCAAATGTTGTGTGGAGTCATGAAAGGTAAGATACTGTACATTCAAATGTTGTGTGAGGTCATGAAAGGTAAGATACTGTACATTCAAATGTTGCGTGGGGTCATGAAAGGTAAGATACTGTACATTCAAATGTTGTGTGAGGTCATGAAAGGTAAAATACTGTACATTCAAATGTTGTGTGGAGTCATGAAAGGTAAGATACTATACATTCAAATGTTGCGTGGACTCATGAAATTGAAAGGTAAGATACTGTACTTTCAAATGTTGCGTGGAGTCATGAAAGGTAAGATACTGTACATTCAAACGTTGCGTGGAGTCATGAAATTGAAAGGTAAGATACTGTACATTCAAATGTTGTGTGAGGTCATGAAAGGTAAGATACTGTAAATTCAAATGTTGTGTGAGGTCATGAAAGGTAAGATACTGTACATTCAAATGTTGCGTGGAGTCATGAAATTGAAAGGTAAGATACTGTACATTCAAATGTTGCATGGAGTCATGAAAGGTAAGATACTATACATTCAAATGTTGCGTGGACTCATGAAATTGAAAGGTAAGATACTGTACTTTCAAGTGTTGCGTGGAGTCATGAAAGGTAAGATACTGTACATTCAAAAGTTGCTTGGAGTCATGAAATTGAAAGGTAAGATACTGTACTTTCAAATGTTGCGTTTGAGTCATGAAAGGTAAGATACTGTACATTCAAATGTTGCGTGGAATCATGAAAGGTAAGATACTATACATTCAAATGTTGCGTGGAGTCATGAAAGGTAAAATGATGTACAAAGAACGTCTTTTTGTTCTGTTTAGCAAAATGAGCCTTAAGAGTGTCTTATCTTTGACCTAACCCAGTCACCAGCAACACACACACTTTCAAAACCTTTGTATAAGTTGAAATAAGTCATTATTTTCCATTTATGCTGCTGCTTACCTAATACCTATAAATTTCTGATCTGATATGCTTAACATTTTAATAACTGTAATATTTGTGTGGTTAAGGTGCTTACACCTGTCCAGGGAGATGTGAAGGACCTTTGGCCAGACCTGTATACTGTGGGACTCCTGGTGTACAACCAGCGCACACTATTGGACAGGTAACTGCAGCTATATTGATAAGAGAGGTGACATGTTATTTGTTAGACTTGGACTGTTTTCATATTCATTATGAAAAAAATTAGACTAAAGTCAATGATACTGACTTTTCAATTGAACAACATTGTTTTATTAAAAAAATGATGTATGCCAATATTTTTACATGTGATCAAATAACATTATAAAACATTTCCTCCCAGTACTAAATCATTTTTATATTTTGTTACACAATTGAATATAAATATAGAATAACCTTTGTGAGTAAGATGTTCCTGAAGGCTTTATTCGAGTGTGTTGTTCCCTTACAGAGAGCTTAGTAAGATAACACACTCACAGATGGTGCAAAGTATGAAAAGGAAGGACACAGACAGACATGAAAATCAAGGTCAGTATTAGAAACATCGAATTTCGTTAATCAGTAGACTTGTAAGAGGCAGGTGGTTAATACTCTGAATTAAATAATGTTAATATATTTCTTTGACAGTTGATGGTGACTGGTGTTATTTGAAATAAGGGTAACTTTTCTGATGAGTTTCAGTGGACTTGAGTGTAGTGTATGACATCATCTCCTAGTTCATGTAGCATATTTTTTTCTGAGATGAAAATTATTGATTTTCCAATATATTTTGTGACCTGCTTTGACTTTTCAGTCATAAATTGTGATCCAAATTATTCAGAGAAATCTTGTGCTCTGTTTTCAGATAAATACTGCAGAGAGTGTATGCGGAAACAAGCTACTTGTCGCTGTGAGAAATGTGACTTCATCATGTGTATGCAGTGTTTTGATAAGGTAACATAGAATTGCAAGTCATCAGTTAAGTAGAAAGATGTGTCTGATTTGAAGGAGACGGAAGAGAAATTTGTGTTATCAGCATTATAGTTTGACAGTTATTAAATAGGAATATGCAGCAGCTAAGAAAACCCTTGTGTGTTTGCTTTTGTAGATACATTCAAAGTCCAAAATGTTAAAGCAGCACCAGCCTGTGCCACTGTCTGCTGACCACAGGTAAGGCTTCCTTTATCACAGGTAAAAACTTAGGCCTGTGCCACTGTCTGCTGGCCACAGGTAAGGCTTCCTTTATCACAGGTAAAAACTGAGGCCTGTGCCACTGTCTGCTGACCACAGGTAAGGCTTCCTTTATCACAGGGAAAAAATGAGGCCTGTTTCACTGTCTGCTGACCGCAGGTACAAACCGAGGCCTGTTCCACTGTCTGCTTACCACAGGTAAAAACTGAGGCCTGTTCCACTGTCTGCTGACCACAGGTAAGGCATCCTGTGTCACAGGTAAAAACTGAGGCCTGTTCCATTGTCTGCTGCATGACCACAGGTAAGGCTTCCGGTATCACAGGTAAAAACTGAGGCCTGTTCCACTGTCTGCTGACCACAGGTAAGGCACCCTGTAATCACAGGTAAAAACTAAGGCCTGTTCTACTGTCTGGGTGCTGACTATCCGGGCTATTTTATACCTGTCGCTGACCACAGGTAGGTCTTCTTCTAACAAAGGAAACAAGGAAGCTTGTTCCAGCAAATAAGACCTTACAACTTTACCTAAGATAAAACCTTATGCTTGATATATATTTAAAACTTGATTCCTATATCGGCTATTTCAGCTCACCTTTCCCAAAGAAAAGTGTGGGTCCATCTTTGGTTTCCATAAGATAGCTTGCATAAATATCTTTTACTTTTCATGAAACTTTGTAAGCATTCCAACATTAAAAGGCTTACACTGATTTTCAATATGTTGAATATGTTTGAAATTTGCATTTGATTGATTTAGCATACTGTTCTCTAAGTGGTCAACATCAACGCTTTTCTATCCACAAGATAAAGTGCTTAAATACCACTTAAGTTTGATTAAATTGGTTAACATGCGAAATACAGAAAGTCTAAGACCTTATTTGAATTTCAGCAAAATTTGTGCATAAGAATTTAGTTTACTTCACTTAGACCAGATTCTTATGAAACTTAGTCAATTTATACATTATACCAAGACAAAAGCTAAGTTCGACTCAATGCCATCGCTGCATGGCATTGAGCTGGCTTATACTTTTCTGCCCCTGTGGTACTCTTGTTTCAATATCAATCACTTCCAGCTTTTGTTATAACAAATTTTCAGTAAAAGTGGAATATATCGAAGTCTTGTAAAATTTCAGAATTTGTACTGTTTGTGGGAGAGCTGAATTTGAGTTGTTGTTTATAGTAATGTAGAGGGGCCTATGTGTAAACAGCATGAGGACCGACCCATAGAGTACTACTGCGAGGATGATTGTATGCCCATCTGTTCTCGGTGTGTCATCATAGGCGACCACAAGAAACATTCCATCACATCCATGGAGGAAAAGGTCAGTACATACAGATCGTCTGACGCTTTACAATAGCAAAAAGGTCAGTCCTATACATACAGATCGTCTGACGCTTTACAATAGCATTGTAATGTAAGGATTCTTGTCTGACCTTGGTAAATGTAACGTATGGGTTCTTAGACATCTGTCAGTGTAATGTGAGGGTTCTCATTTGTCATCCTCCAGCACACATAATATCATTGTAAGTGGCATTGTAAGAAATAATGGAATTTGTGTTGAGGGAAGCTAGCTTACAAGACTTCAGTGATTCTGTCATTATGTCTGACTGATCACCAAACTAAACACCAGGAGATGCTTAAAAACCTATTGTGTCACAACATTATATTTTCCCAATTGAACACACTGTATAACATGAAATGTTCGTTGTGTATAAACATTCATGGTTTCTGTGCTATTGAACCACGAAATTAAATACAACAGATTTGAATGTTAGACGTGTGTAATGTATGCTAATATAGGATATCCACAAAAGCTTGTACCACGAAACGATCTAAATGGCTTCAAACCATGAAGGAAAGTACCCATGAACATTTCGTGTTATACAGTAGTAAGCATTTCCCAAAATATACTGAAAATATAATCTTAACTCTGTATATGTCGGCAAAAAACAATCAATATCTATGATATTTCCAAGTAATTTCATTCATATTTCGTGGCTGAAATCAGACAATGTGCTAAAAAGTAGCTTTTGCAACACTAGGATAATATTCTGTATAAAAATTTTTGAAACTATTTCAGAACAAAGCAATATTTGCTGACATGGAGCCAGCTCTTCATACAGGAACCAAAGTGTTGAGGAAACTTCGTAAGGCAGAAAATGTAAGTTGAAGTAGATCTGAATTACTGGAGGATGATATATGGCTCTCAGCATCATATCAGAAATATTTAACTTTGGCTTCTTGTGGATCAGATAAAATATTATACAAATCAAGTCTATTTTTGACAGAAAGTCCATTGACTATTTTGAATGGAAAATATACCTAAAATATTGGACAGTACTAATTTACAATAATTATTAAAGCAGTGGTTGGGTTTAATGTTTTAAGTTTTATTAGAAATGTTTAAATAACTTGGAATATAGCTGGTATATAATTTTAACAAAGAAAACAGTTGCAATTAAAATTTCACAGAGAAGTGAATCTTCAAAATTTCCAACTGAATGAAATATCGGAACATAAACTGATTTCTCTTTCTTCAGTATTTGAAACACACATTGTTTCTTCCACATGGAAACATTTAGGGCTCCTTTGTTTTCCTGAATGATATCACCCAAATTGACCATCTAGTCCTGGCTAGTGTGCTTATAGGACTCACAGCTACAGGGAGATGTCCTGTTTTCTTGGAAACTAACTGTTCCTTCATTCCCATGTTGTGAAATCAGGTTGGGTGAAATTCATCATTATTCATAACTCCTGAGCTTATTCTGCACTTTCATTGGGTTTCTGTCACCACATTAATGGACACAAAGACCTTATGATTTGTGCATTGTGCTATTTTCATGATTGCTGTTTTATATTTGTTGTGTATGCCTTGTTTTGAAGAAAGAAACAAGCTGCTTACAGTAATTACTATTGCTGGAAGTATATGTGTGTTTTACAGGCGATTGGGACACTGGTGCCAGACATGAAGATGGAGACCACGACTGTCATAGAGGAAATACACAGTCACTTCCAGGTCCTGCATGGCATGCTTCAGGCTAGGCAAGTCACACTGAAAACATATTTAGTTTGACTAGAACACGCTTTTAACACGCTGTTGTGAAGATTGATACAGTCACTGTAGCACCATGACTTGCATACAACATAATGTGTGTTGCTTCTGAAACTAAATGCTACACCTCAAGTGGTGTGACAGTAAACATAGTACAAGTCTACTGAAGTACTGTACACCAACACAGTACAAGTCTACTGAAGTACTGTACACCAACACAGTACAAGTCTACTGAAGTACTGTACACCAACACAGTACAAGTCTACTGAAGTACTGTACACCAACACAGTACAAGTCTACTGAAGTACTCTACACCAATACAGTACAAGTCTACTGAAGTACTGTACACCAACACAGTACAAGTCCACTGAAGTACTGTACACCAACACAGTACAAGTCTACTGAAGTACTGTAAACCAACACAATACAAGTCTACTGAAGTACTGTACACCAACACAGTACGCACCTACATTAATACAGTATAACTTGACATACATACTAGCCACTTAAACATAGAACTTCTCCACATATGGATATAATGTATTCATGTGAACAAGTTCCATGTGATTCATGTGTATATTGAACAAAGTTTATGCTTGACTCCGGTTGTGTATACTGCTGACATCAATTCTGTTTGATTACAGAGAAAAACAGTTAATAGATGATGTGTTCAAAGTATACAGGACAGGCATAGAGCCTCTGTCAACATTGGTGAGTATAAGCAGGGACTTATCCATCTGATCTAAAGGAAAGTTCATACAAGCTCGCGCATGTTTAAATGTCAGTGTGCTGCACCCGAGGTCAATATCATTGTTGAAAAACAATCTTTGTTATCTTTGTACTTGTTCTAGATGAATCATTTTGTTTTTGCGTATGGATCTTCATGAAACTTCAAATACGGCATTGTAATATATTTACATTTGGTGTGGCAAAGCCCTTCTATATTACTACTAAAGTACTGCCAATAGCAGCTTCATCTTATGAGACAATAACTGAAGTTGGTCTTTGCTCCTCCGAGCGACTTAACAGTGTCACTACCGAACTTATCGGTATCTTCTGCTTTGATCCCTAACACCAGCTGCCTGTCTCAAGTGTCTGTGAGATCAACAAACAATTTTACGCCTGGATTTTTCACCAATTCAACCTTCTCCGGTTGCACGATCAACATCAACAACATGCCGGACCGCAAATATAACTCTGACCTGATTACTGCGGGCTTCCGTTGAGTGCGTGCGCCGGATATAGGTCGCAATAAAATCGGAAAATGTTTTACGACACTTGATTAGTTACTTACAAAATGTCATTTGTTACTATTTATGAATCGAGAATATGATATATATATAAAACAAAATCAAATGAATTATTAACGAAAGTTGCGGAGTCTTTTCAATTTTGTATGGGAAATAGCGCATGACGTCAGCTGTTATCTTTGTGCTGTTCTAGATACTGACCTGACCCGACGGTAATACGCGGGAAATTTGAAATTTGGAAAAGACATATTTTTTTTTGCGAATTCTCATTATGGAAATATAAATATAAGCAATAAACTGCATAGATGTGGCAGACCAACTGGTATAACTTCCACATGTGTCACAGACAAACTTATCATGGTGCGCTAGCACGCACCATTCAGTTTGTCTGTGACACATGTGGCAGTTATACCAGTTGGTCTGCCACATCTATGCAGTTTATTGCTTAAATAACCTTATTGATGAGCCACATGAGGAAATATGATTGGAATACAATGATACGTCTTTTAATTGATTACAGAAGGACCAGATGTATGAAGATATTAGAAAGCTAGAAATTTCTATAAAAGGTAAGTTGGTTTGTTCAGTGACCCTTAAAACCCCTTTAAATCCGAGTTGGGGGCTATTTGCAGATATTGTCTTTAGGAAAATATTCTTCTTTTTTAGCTCGTCTGTTCGAAGAATAGAGGGGCTATAGCAGTACCCACGGCATCGGCATCGCTGTCCCACTTGGTTGAAGGTTTTGGGCAAGCTGTGTTTTGGTGTTTAACTCAACTTTTAATTAATATTACATTGTAATATGGTTACAGCAATTGCCTGGAGGTTCCTTAGCAACAAATTGGACCATATTTGCTCATTATTGGTCCGAAACACAAGTCTTTTGGAATTGGTTAAAGTTTTTGGGCAAGTTCTACAGGTTAAAGTTTAAGGGCAAGTTCTAGTTCTTTTGAAACTACTGGGCAGATTTCAACCAAATTTGGCAGGAAGCATCCTTAGGGGAAGGGGATTCAAGATTGTACATATGAATTCTCTGACCCCCCAGGGGACAGATGGGCATTGCCAAAAGGGGCAAATTTGACAGTGTGCCCTGAAACGATATCTCCTCCTAGACTATATGGCAGATTTCAACCAAATTTAATAGGGAGCATCTTTAGGGGAAGGGGATTCAAGATTGTACAAATAAAGTTCCTGACCCCCCAGGGGACAGATGGGTGGGGCGGGGCCAAAGGGGGTAAATTTGACGGTATGCCTTTAAACGACATCAAATATAAAAAAAAAAAAAAGGAAATTCTAGTTCTAATTTCCTGATCTATTTTCTAAGATGGGACATCCTGTAATGACCCAATTACTATTGGCACTTTTTACAAAAAATATTTTAATAGACGAGCTATGCTGTTCTCCTACAGCTCTTGTTTATATGTATGCAAGATGCAAGGAGATCATAGCTATAAAAAGCTATATATTTTGAATCTGCAACCACCGCTCGTTGATGGTTTGGTGCCCTAGGCTTTCTGATGTGATATCTCGGTTCTTAATTCCTTGACCGTCCTGTTTATGATTTGCAGCGGCCCAGAGGATATTGAATAACAATAATGAAGTGATTCTTAATGCCAACGACATCCTGTCTCAGCTACAAGCAGCCAAGGACTTGCCCTGTATTGTACATAAAAAGAAAGAAAAACCCGCTACCAAGATCAGGTAACATTCTGTCATTTACCGTACACAACAATGATAAACCCGCTACCAAGATCAGGTAACATTCTGTCATTTACCGTACACAACATTGATAAACCCGCGACCAAGATCGGGTAACATTCTGTAATATATGCTATAAACAGCAAATTATTGGATCTTGCATGTTAGAACTCTATGCAGTATTGTGAAGAAGAAGGAGGGAGATAGGTTCTTGTAACAAGATTTATACAGAAAATGAAGACTAAAGATCATGTTAAGATGTTCTTGTTCAAATATTGTTAATATGAATAGTGAGTATTTTAATATTGTCTGCGTGGGGGGGGAGTGTTTTCAGTTCTAGTGAGTGGGTGTGCAATAAAATTGTGAAATTTTGTCAATTCTAGATTTCTGTTTCAGGTTTGAACAAGGATTGTCTCTTCCTACAGCGATTGTCAGTTACGGTGGTATAGATGGCTCAGTGCCCATCATGTAAGTTATCACATCTGTCTTTCTAAAGAAAAATAAATCAGTGCTATTAACAGATAATTATACAATGTACTTTAATTGTAGAAAACACACAGACCTCCCGGTGTAATTTCAATATGTATAATGTTTTGTGATTTCTGAGATTTTATGAAGATTTCTGATGTTTACCATTTGTACAGGGCTGAGTGGCACACAATTTCTGAGATGCCGGAGGAGTTGATGATGGATGACTGTGATACGTCTGAGTCCATCACTCCAGCCGAGTCTGTTGGGTCCATGTCTGATACAGCCACTTCGGACATGATTGCTGATGGTATGGCATTCTCACAGGGAACATGTCTTACCGGGGATTAAGATAAGGAATATTATGGCTCCTCATCAGAGATGAGGTTGTCTATAGTAATCACAGTGCTTTCCCATCTGTCTGCCTGTTCTTGCATTCGTTTCCAGAGATATCTCGAAAAATTCTACATGATGGCAGTATTGTATGTAGAAATGCAAAAGAGGTTTAAAGAATTATTAAGGTCCAGGTCAAATATTCCATTTTGGTGGAAGATAGTATCTGCTGAATATCCTATACTAATAACTCCATGTTACAATGAGCATCCCTAATTCCAAGATGCCTACCAGTTCTTGGCCACTTTTGTTTGTCGTGATTTAAACGGTTTAGCTGGTTGGACCAGAGTTGTTCGATTATGAAATAAGGTTGGACCTTATATAGTGATCTGATGATGCTTTCAGATGAGCCTTACAAGGCCTGCATAATCATTTGCAGGTCAGTCAGGTTTATACTTGAAAGTGTTACATTTAAATACTGACAAACCAGTTCCTCATAAACGAACAGACCCCGGTCAGAAAGAATAACAGGGGTAATATGCTGTCGAAGCTACATGGTGTGACCCTTTCTGAATCATCATTGTTCTTTTAAATTTAAATGGTATTTACTCCTATAATGAAATGCCATATTTCACTGGATCCTTAAATCCAAAATGGCTACCATCTATTGCTTCTGATTGACTGAGACATATTTAGCTACAAATATCAGGCTATAAATGTTGTTCTGCTTTTATTTTATTTTGTTGCATTACATACTTGTGTTATGCCTTGTAACCAATATTCTAAAATCCACAATCTGTTTTGCATCTACTTGGCTGTAATGGTTATTTATACACACTGGCCCTGTTCTAGTTATCAGAATAATATGAAAGAAAGAAATGCCTTTTAAATGAAAATTATAATCATATTTGTGTTTTTGATTAATGAATACCTTGAGATTTGAATTGTGCGACATACTGGAGATATTCTCAAGGAAATGAGAACTGATGGCTGAATGTTGTTCTTTTACTGTTGTTGATAGATGAAAGTGATCTAAAACAGTCTTGGAGTTACCAGGTCTCTTTAGAGGAAGAATTATCCACTGAAGACAACAGAACAAAACCAAAGGTAGCTGGGACCTCCAGCAAGAAATCTAAGAAGACAAAAGCTATGTCTGTACCAATACCACCTAAGGGAAGAATCAAGGGTAAGTGTCTAAGGGAGCATCCACCTAAGGGAAGGATCAAGGGTTAGTGGCTAAGGGAGCATCCACCTAAGGGAAGGATCAAGGGTAAGTGTCTAAGGGAGCGTGTCTAAGGGAGCGTCCACTTAGGGGAAGGATCAAGGGTAAGTGTCTAAGGGAGCGTCCACCTAAGGGAAGGATCAAGGGTAAGTGTCTAAGGGAGCGTCCACCTAGAGGAAGGATCAAGGGTTAGTGGCTAAGGGAGCGTCCACCTAGAGGAAGGATCAAGGGTAAGTGAAGGGAAGGATCAAGGGTAAGTGTCGAAGGGAACGTCCACCTAAGGGAAGGATCAAGGGTTAGTGGCTAATGGAGTGTCCACCTAAGGGAAGGATCAAGGGTAAGTGTCTAAGGGAGCGTCCACCTAGGGGAAGGATCAAGGGTAAGTGTTCAAGGGAGCGTCCACCTAAGGATCATATATATAGCAACCTTAACTGTAGGTAGCCAGGACTATGTATAGCTACCAAAACTAGGTGGCCAGGACTATGCATAGCTACCAAAACTGTTGTTGGCCCGGACTTTGTATATAGCAACTGAAACTGTAGATGGCCAGGACCATGCATGTTGTAACCTAAAGTAAAGGTAGGCAGAACCATGTATAAATCAACTTAAACTAGAGGTAGACAGGACCATGCATGTTGTAACCTAAACTAGCGGTAGACAGGACCATGTATATAGCAACCTAAACTAGAGGTAGACAGGACCATGCATGTTGTAACCTAAACTAGAGGTAGCCAGGACCATGTATATATCAACCCGAACTAGAGGTAGCCAGGACCATGTATATAGCAACCTAAACTAAGGTAGCCAGGACCATGTATATAGCATCCCGAACTAGAGGTAGCCAGGACCATGTATATAGCAAACCGAACTAGAGGTAGCCAGGACCATGTATATAGTAACCTAAACTAGAGGTAGCCAGGACCATGCATGTTGTAACCTAAACTGGAGGTAGACAGGACCATGCATGTTGTAACCTAAACTAGCGGTAGACAGGACCATGCATGTTGTAACCTAAACTAGAGGTAGCCAGGACAATGTATATAGCAACCTGAACTAGAGGTAGCCAGGACCATGTATATAGCAACCCGAATTAGAGGTAGCCAGGACCATGTATATAGCAACCTGAACTAAGGTAGCCAGGACCATGTATATAGCAACCCGAACTAGAGGTAGCCAGGACCATGTATATAGCAACCTCAACTAGATGTAGCCAGGACAATGTATATAGCAACCTGAACTAGAGGTAGCCAGGACCATGTAGATAGCAAACCGAACTAGAGGTAGCCAGGACCATGTATATACCAACCCGAACTAGAGGTAGCCAGGACCATGAAGGGAGCAACCTCAACTAGATGTAGCCAGGACAATGTATATAGCACCCTGAACTAGAGGTAGCCAGGACCATGTATATATCAACCCGAACTAGAGGTAGCCAGGACCATGAAGGGAGCAACCTCAACTAGATGTAGCCAGGACAATGTATATAGCAACCTGAACTAGAGGAAGCCAGGACCATGTATATAGCAACTTAAACTAGAGGGAGCCAGGACCATGTATATAGCAACCCGAACTAGAGGTAGCCAGGACCATGTATATAGCAACCCAAACTAAGGTAGCCAGGACCATGTGAACAGCAATCTTTTACTTTAGGTGATCGCGGCTGTGTATATGTGAATGACAATCTAATGCTGTAGGTGGCCAGGACCATGTGTAAATGACCCAAATGACAATCTAATGTTGTAGGTGGCCAGGACCGTGTTTATGTGACCCACATCAAGAACCCAGGCAAGTTCTTTGTACAAAGGTCTGGTGATGCTGCAGCTCTTCGTAAGCTAGCACGACAGATCAACATGGCATGTAAAAAGCCCTCCGCAGAGCGAGAAATTCCAACGGATGTGATGAAAGGTAAACTATTGTATTTACAAACCTTAATGTCAGATCACTTATAGCTCACTTGACACTTGGGTCACATTCGTGTACCCCGGTTGAAACAGTTCAGATGGCATTAAATTGAAATGTGGTACAGTGTCGCTCTGACCAGCCAACATCAAATTTTCTTTCAGAAGTTGACTCCTCTGGAAGGATCGATCAGTTTTAAAGCCATATCTGCCGTAAAGCATTCTTGAGATTCCTAAGAATGGTTTGTTTTCATTGAAATTTGGTTTACTTATACATACTGGCAAGTGTCAGGTCAAGTTTGATTTCAAATTTGATGTATGCAGATTTAAGCATAATTTATAAGTCTACCCAGTCCCTCTTCTGATTTATCTATTTAAAAAAAATTAGAAACGTGAGCAGTTGAGAATGTTCTTTCTCTTGTCAACCATAAATCTGTAACTTGCTGAAGGGAATGGCCACCACGTTTGTCTAAGTGAATGATTTTGAATGACAAAATGAACCAAAAGGACAAAGGTCATGATATTATGAATTAAAACAGGATCACGGTCAGGTTTTCTAACTGAAAACTTAATACTTTAATTTTTAATGAAACATACATTTTGTATCATGAATGATTAGGTAAGGAATACAAGTCACATGGGCCTCTTGTTTGCATTTATTAGCATTTCTTTCTTGGTAAATCATATTGTTTTGTTCATAAATGATCATGGAGTCTGCAGATATTGTGTAGTTCACATATAGAAATGGACAAGAGATGAAAAGTAGCAAATGTTTGTCTTTATTTGCTCATGACATTCATGAAAGGTAAACTTTTTGTTATATTGACATTTGTTTATTTTTGCTGCAGGAGATCTGTTGCTAGGGAAATACACATGTGACAATGAATGGTACAGGGTCAAGGTCAAACAGGTGTTGCCTGGTGATAACAAAAACAAGATGAAGCTTGAAATCATCTACCTGGACTATGGAAATGTTGAAGTGATCTCAATTGACAGGTCAGCCCTTATTAACAGTTTAAATGGCTCCATTACTATATAGGATTAGGGATACTTTCTTGATCAAATTCGCTTTTACAAACCAGAATGTTGATACAAACATCCAAAGGTAAGGTTCCAAAGGTTTCATGTGATCATTCACAAATAACTCGCCGACACCTAGGTGCTACACAAAAGAACTCAGAAATACTTACTTTCGTGCAGGCATAAATAATTTTCCATTGTGTGTTTAAATTACCAGGTGGCGAAAGACATTTCGTAACTGAACCATTGTAGCCTCATATAAAAAAACATTGTGGAATGTTGAAATTCTTCTTCAGAAGATAGCAATTTTAGTAACAGTTATTGTATGGAAGCATTTAACATCAATCTATTGACGTTGAGGTAAAGTTACCTATCTGCTGGGGATTTCTACGGTTTTTGGATCGAGGGTGAGAGTTAAGGGTCATGGTTTGATTTTTATTTACAGAACAAGAAAAATGCAGCAAAGGTTTATGGAGCAGCCACCGTTCCTGATGGAATGCTGTCTGTCTGACATTGTTCCTGTGGATAAGGTCTGTATTACCTGATGGAATGTTGTCTGTCTGACATTGTTCATGTGGATAAGGTTGTATTACCTGATGGAATGTTGTCTGTCTGACATTGTTCATGTGGATAAGGTTGTATTACCTGATGGAATGTTGTCTGTCTGACATTGTTCCTGTGGATAAGGTCTGTATTACCTGATGGAATGTTGTCTGTCTGACATTGTTCCTGTGGATAAGGTCTGTATTATTCCATCAGGCAATACCCAGGTATTGCCAGGGTGTTACGCCATAACTATATTCTGCACAGACATTCAAGTCTTTTTTTAGCTCACCTGGCCAGAAGGGCCAAGTGAGCTTATGCCGTGGTGCAGGGTCCGTCGTCTGTCTGTCCGGCGTCAATGTTTTACTTTAAACAATTTCCTCTTAATAACCAAAAGGCCTTGGGTGATGATATTTGGCCAGTAGCATGCTGGGATGAAGGGCTACCAAGATTGTTCAAATGAATAACCTCACTCAATATTCAAGGTCACAGGGGTTAAATGATTTAAAGCCTGTAGCCTTATTTTAGATCACTTTTTAGGTTACAAGTGTGAGATTATTGGCAGGTGAGCGATGCAGGCCCATTGGGCCTCTTATTTGTAATAATTACAGGATTGTGACTTTTATAATGATCATCATACATACAATGATTAATTTTTGATATGCCACATAACCAAAGTAAATATACAAAATAGTCTGATATCACACAGTAACACATGTAATAAGTATTTGTAAGTTGTAAGTTTTCTGTTTTCAGGTTGAATCCTGGTCACTTGAAGCTGTACAGACCTTTGCAAAGATGACTGCTGAAAAACCATTAATAATGATTGTAAGTGGAATCATTTTAACCTGTGTAGAATATCCTGATATTTCAAATCCTGACTTATTTTTATCTTTTTATACACCTGTCAAATTTGACGGAAGTATTATGGTATGGGGTTGTCCGTCGGTCCGTCCGGCGTAAACTTTTGTTTGTCCGGCAATCTCCTCCTATTTAGACCGATCACTTTGAGACTTGGTATACATTATAATCATGATATGAAGTTGTGTCTCCCTTAAAAGAATTTTGATTCGACAATTTTTCCGAAACTTATTGCCCTTTGTTTATTTCGGTATTAGATGTTTTGTCTGGAGATCTCCTCCTACATGTTTTGACGGATTTCTTTGAAACTTAGTAGGCTAAATAATCATGATATGTTGTTGTGTTTCCTTGAAAGGAATTTTGATTCAACAATTTGTGCAAAAGTTATTGCCCTTTGTTTATTTCAGTATTTGATTTTTGTCCGGCAATCTCCTCATACATTTTTCAACCGACCTCTTTGAAACTTGGTATACATTATAATCATGATATGAAATTGTGTCTCCCTTAAAAGATTTTTAATTCAACGATTTTTGCAAAAGCAAGTGCCCTTTGTTCATTTCAGTATTATTTTTTTGGCCAGAGTTTTTCTCCTACATTTTTAAGGTCACCTGAGACAAAGTCTCAAAATCGCCTTTTGTCCGTCGTCGTCTGTCGTCTGTCTTCCGGTAGCAGTATACAGTAGAGGGTTGTGGCCATGGGTGATATTTTTGTTAAATGGCTAACCCCTGTATAATGATATGTAAAAAAATTATAAAAATAAAACTGTACTAAAATTGGTATAAGCATGATGAAGTGGGATATGTGAGCTTCACATTTGTAAAAAAGAAAGAAGATTTCTTTGGTTTCGAGTATAAAATTTTGGCCATAATCCGAAAGGGTGCGTACACATGAAAAGCTAGCTTTACAGGAGGTAAAATTTTGACAACAGCACACGACGCAAAATTGCAAAAAATCAAGTTTTACAATTTTACTGGGACCCAGATAATTCTGCAACCAGGTAGGTAATCTT